GGGTCGGCCAGGGCAGGGCCCCACGCCGCCGCCCATGGACCTGTTCGAACACAGGGCCGGCCCGACCTTTGGAGTCCCTGCGAGGAGATCGCGAGTGAGTTTCGACGAGGAGAAGCATGGCCCGTCGGAGAAGGTCAGGAGGTCGGCGGGGGCGCTCGGCGACCCGGAGGAGAAGGACAGCGAGGGCATGGTTAAAGTCATGGCGGATATCGCGTACAACCTCGACTTAACGAACAAGCGGGCGGAAGATGCAGCGGCGGGGAAGATGGGCACCCTCCAGTCGATCACGAAGGACCACGAGCTGCCGGTGCTGGCGGCGCGTGGGCGCGGGAGGTTCCGGGTGGCCATCTGCCCAGACGACCTGGGCCGGGCGCTCGTCAAGGCTCACCTGCGCATGGCGGAGCACTCCTCGGCGTTGTTCAAGCACCATCGCTGGCCCACCCTGATCAACTACCGGATCGCCTTCGGCATCGCATCAGGGTCGTGGGGAGGCATGTCGGTCGAGACGCCGGCCGCTCACGCGCGCAGCGCGGCGGACTGGGTGACCTGCCCAGAGGAGCTGTTCGACGACTACGTACCCACGACGGAGTACAAGATCGAGCCACTTCCGAAGCAGCCTGTGGACATGCTGAAGTGGGCACGCCTAGCTCGCAACAGCATATGGGCTGTCTGTTTAGCGCATGGGGCTGAGCACTGGGACGAGAGGAGCGAAGCCCTGGACTACCTCATCCGACAGCACGAGGCGAAGCCGCGGAAGTACACCGCTCGTTTCATCCAGGATGCCTGGGAGGAGCTGAACGGGCGGTGGCGGGGGGAGCTTCGATGGAGGGCCATGGAGGTGCAGCGCTACTGCAACAAGGAGCTGATGAGGAAGGAGCACTTCATCTTCGCCGCCCGGACGCCGACGCCAGAGGGACCGCCGCTGCTGACACTCCCCACGACGTTCGAGGTAGGGGATCCCGACGGATACTTCAAGACGGTCATCTTCGAACGCCTGGTAAAGACCGCGGACAACGCTTACTGGGAGAACGCGCGCCGTGCCCAGCTGCGCCCCCTGGCAGCAGGAGGAATGGGGGAGGTTGAGGAGCGTCGCCCCGCCGGTGGTTTGTCGCAGCCTCCGTCAGGCGGCGGGGGGGGGGAGAAGGCTGGTGCCCTGAAGGCTGGAGCGAGCAAGGTCAAGCTCCCGCCTGAAGTCCTCTCGGCTCCGACGGGGCCCGAGGTCGCGGAATCGGTCAAACGCGGGCCGAACGACTCCAAGGGAAAGCCCAGGTGTTGGGACGCAGCGTGCCACGATGGGTGCTCGAAGACTGCCACCACCTGTCAGCGGTCTCACGCGGAGGGCATCAAGAGTGCCGACAGGGCGCACTGGACGGCGAAGGCGCAGTACGTCAAGCGAGGAGGGCTTAAGACGGGACCGAAGATAAAGACCGAGGATCGGCTCGCCTAGATTACGCAGCTCCGAGCGGACGCGCAGAAGGAGCAAGCCGCGAAGGTGCAGGAGGGAAAGGACCAGGCAGCGCAGCGAGGTGGCCGGCGAGGAGGAACGTCGGAGGCTGGCCGCCCCGCGACGATGGAGGAGGTTGCCAAGCCGCCTGGGGAGCACTCGGACATGGAGTACACCACCCAGGAGCGGGAGCTACAGGAGTTGGCGCAGGGCCCCGACAAGAGCTGGATGCGGGACTACGGGGGCCAAGGGGCGGTCGTTCCCCCACCCGAACTCCCAGAGGACGTGCCGGAGGTGGCGAAGGTTCACCTGGCAATGGCGGACCGGGTCAGGAGCTCGCCGGAGGCGAAGTTGGTCGCTGGTGCGCCGAGCCGTCTGCGTTCTCATTGTCATGACCGCTTGCTGGATGGGCACCTCGGGGGGCAGGTCACCCCGATCGAGGAGATCTTGCAGGACGCGGTGGAGCTGGGCGATGAGGAGTTGGCTTGCCAGGCCCGACCGTATCTGGCGTCACGAGTGGAGCGAGTTGGGGGAGAACTTGAGGGTCCAGAAGTACATGTGGGCAAAGTGGTGTGGGGACCAGCGGACGAACCTGGGCGTGGCAGAGTCCATACCAAAGGGCGCATCTGGGACATCCTTGACTACAGAAGCCAGCTGGCTGTCACCGAGGAACTGGCGGAGTACCTACCTGAGTGCCAGGCCGGGGAGGCGGAGGAGAGGCAGTGCGTCTTCATCAACACGGCCGCGGCGCACCTGCACTCCAAGGGTGGGGGTGGCCCGTCCGTGGCAGAGGTGATGGAGTTGGCGCAGCAGTGACGCGTCGCCACGTGGGGGGAGGCCAAGCAGGCTGAGACTTTCACGGGGCCGCCTGGCGCTTACATTCCCATCGCCGAGTCGGACGTGAGGATGTTCTGTCGCGACACCCTCCGCCTGAGCCACGACAGGGACTACAGGACCTTGGCGGCCTTCCCGCCACCTGCGCTGCGAGAGACGGCAATCCATGTGGTCCGAGTCGACCCCTGGGGCCGAGCACGGCTCGAAGTCATCGTGGGGGTGAAGTGCGACCCGAAGGTCAGCGGGCGGGATGTGTGGATGCTGCTCTACAAGGGGCACTTGCAGGCACTGGTGCCTCCCCAGGTGGATGCCGACGCGCTCCGTGGGGATTTCACGGGCGGGCACCCGCCACATGAGGTGTTGGCGGCGGGTTGGGGCGTCTACCTGGATGACGCGATGCACGAAGACGCGAAAGTGCCAGGAGATGTGGCGAAGAGGTGCCCGCGGTGCCGAGCGGCAAGGGAGGCTGGGCGTGAGCGGAAGGCGGGGGGGGCAGGACATCATTGGGGAGGGCCCGAGGTGGAGGGTCCTCGGCAATGGGGGCAATCCAGCCTGGAAGCGGTACGAACGCCATGGCCAGGCGACAGGAGGAAGGCGGCCTTGCTGGAAGGGACGCACCCTGACGGCAAAGGAGGTTTGGGCAGGGACCCAAGGGTGGTCGGACTCGCTCAAGGATGCGGGGGTCGAAGTCGGTCCAGCGGTCGAGCTGTGCTCAGACCCAGAGCGTGGCAAAGGCTTGCAGGAGGAGCACGACACCAGGCGCAAGGAGGTGCAGGAGGCGTTGCTGGAGGAGGCCAGGCAGTGTGTATACTTGCTCTGGTGGCTCGGGTTTGACTGCCGCACCTTCTGCCCGTGGATGCTGCGCAACGGCGGCACGCGCGCGTTCGACGTTCCTGCCGGGCGTCCTGACGGACCGCTGTGGGAGGTCAAAGGGGCGGCCGTGGCAAATTTCGCTGGACGCTTGTTTGAGGCCATCGCCGACGCCGGTGCTCTGACGACGGCGGAGCACCCTGCCCCAGACGGTCGGTATCCCAAAGCCTACGACTTGGACCGGTGGCGCCAAATCCTGCGCCGGAAGGATGTCCTGGTGGTGCCAGTGGACCAGTGCGAGTACGGCCTGGGGCCTCGGGGCGGCGTGGGAGGAGACGAACGGTATAGGAAGCGATCGCGGTTGGTCACATGCGTCCGTCACCTGCAGGAAGTGGCCCGCCAACGCACACACCAGCATACGCATGTCGAGCTGAAAGGAGTCGACACCGTCACGAAGCACAAGCGCACGCCCGACGCGGGCCACTACCCAGAGAAGCTGCTGCGCGCCATCACCCAGGCCATGATCACCGAGGCCCTGGAGCTGGGCGCCACGCTGGCCAAGAAGCAAGGGGGGGGAGAGCCCCCCCACCGTCTACAATTTTTTCGGCGACGCTGGCTGGGCACATTTCCGAGGGTGACGAGGAGCAAGAGGAGGAGACCAGGGAGATCGCCAGCGTCAACCCACAGGTGGGCGATCTCCGCGATCGAGTCGGAGGAGCGGTCCCAGAGACCGATCGTGGCGCCTTGAATTTCTCGGCGGCGGCTCGTTCAGAGCCAGGGTGCAGCGACGCGCGCTCTGCCTCGGGCCGTGTCGACCGTGCTGGGGGCTCTCGACGCCGGCTCGACAGCCAGCTCCACAGATCAGCTCGTCGTCGCCGCGGGCTGCTCTCCTCGCTGTCGCCCGGCGACGCAGCGTGCCCCTCTGGGGGTGGCGGCACCGTGGCGGCCGCTGCTGGGGAGGGCTGGCGCCCCTTCCCTCCCGCGGGCGGGCCCGCCACCGGCCCAGGGGGTGGTCCTCGCCCCTTCCCGGCGGCGGGCGCTGGCCCTGCTGGGGGGGCTGCTCGGCGCTGCGACCCATCGGTGGCCGCCGCCGCGCCGCGGCGCCGCTGGTCCTCCTCCAGCGCCCGCAGCAGAGGCGCGCACGCCCCTCCATTGGCCAGTTCGGCCTCCGCGGGCAGCGCACTGTCCACGACCCGAGCCGCTGGGGGCAGGGCCAGCGTCGCTGGTTGCGCCCGCCATCTGCGGCCAATCTCCGCGGCCGCCACGGCCCCAATGATCATGGGCAGCAACGCCATCATGAAGGCGCCGCCTCGGCCGACTCCGCCTGGCAGCGGTCCAGAAAGAACTTGAGCCCAAAAGGGGCCGCGGAGGGGGAAAGGGACAGAGAGCAGGAGAGACCCTTCCCCCCTCACCAGGCACTTACTCCCTGAAACCCTACGTATTACGCATGCTCAAACTCTCACAAGTCCACGGCACACGAACGAAACCACCACAGCTGACACGAAGCCGCGCTGCCCTCCGTCACGACCAGCGAACGCATCCGTGTCCGCGCCCTCGCGGTCGGGATTCGGGGGCGTGATACCGCGGATACGCGGGCACACGAATACGTTCCGCGCGGCTCGCGACAAAAAACGCCCCGTATCCGCGGGGTCGCGGCCCAGGGGACCAGCCCGCGAGGCCGCGATACGGATATGTTTTTCGCCCACGACTCCGACTCGCAATATCGACACCCTGTGAGAGATGAGGAGAACAAGTGCCAGGATGAAGGGCATGAGCAATAGCATCCGGATGCAATGAACGATACCTTCGGCCGCCTTACGGGCAAAAATACCCTCATTTCTCCCAACCCCATCCCCCCCACCCGATACTTGTCTTCCTGAAAAGACGGCTCCGCGCGCCGAACTCTGACGGCCTCATGGCCAAGCCGCCCTCGGACACGGCCCCGTAGAGCCACAGGCCCGCGCCTCGCGGCCGGTGGCGCGCTGGCATACCGGCACCCACAAGGAAGGTCCGTGTCGTGACGGCTTGAGCGTGGCCTGCGCATCCCTTGTAGGCGCACGTCCGAACCAAACCTGTAGGACAAGCATCCTACAGCATACCGCGACCCACGCGGTGTGGCCAGAAAGCGCCCGCCACTGAGCACGTCAGAGTGAGGGGGCCGAACGGTCATTCACTGTCCCTGGTGCGTGGCTAAAGTGAGAACCCGTGGTGAGGATTCTGGTTGTTGAACTCGCCTTTCTAAAAAATAATTAACGTTGATCCCCCCTCACTGGTGCAAACTGTTGTTTCTCATTCATTGTCCCTGGGTGCGTGGCTAAAGTGAAAACCCGTGGTGAGGATTCTGGCTGTTGAACTTTCACTTCTGAAGAATAATTCGTGCTGATACCCCGCCACCGGTGCATGCTGTTTTTCCTCCATCAAAGTGTGCCCCTCGACGCTCGCACCCTGTTTTTTGACAGGGAACGTCTTGGTGCTCAAACTGTGCCCCGGACCCCCCAGATTAGAACAACAACAACGGCTCCCGCCTGAGACTTCCTCCAAATGTACTCAGGATCCGTGCTCCCGCCTGTAACTTCCTCGCAATTAAATCAGGACCCCCGCTCCCATCTGAGACTTCTTCACAATTTACTCAGGAACGGCGCTCCCGCTTGAGACTTCCTCGCAATTGAATCAAGAATTCCTCGCGATTGAATCAAAACCCCCGCTCCCGCCAGAGAACCCTTCACATTTGATTCAGGAATTGTGCTCTCGCCTGTGACTTCCATGCGATGTATTCAGAAATCGCGCTTTCTACGCTCAGGAAACACGCTGCGCCAAGGACGCCACTACAATTTACTTAGTAATCGCGCTCTCGCCATACTCAGGCATCCCGCTTGAATGTCCCACCCACCCGACCCGCCCGTCAGGGGATCGCCCGCCCGTCGTGGGCTCCCGCCCGAGACTTCCTTCAGGAACGGCGTTTTCGCTCAGGACTTCCTCGAATGTTCACGCTCTTACCTTCCTGCTCCTCCTCCCTTTCCTTCCTCCCTCCTCCCTCCTCTCCTCCCTTCTCTCTCCCTCCTCTCTTCCCTCATCATTATGTCTCTCTGCCCTATCCCCTCTCCCTCCTCTCCCTCCTCCCTTCTCCCTCCCCTTTCCTGCCTCCTCCCCCCCTTTTTCTGTATCTCTCTCCCCTCTCTTTCTGTCTTTCTCTCTCTCTCTCTCTCTCTTTCTCTCTCTCTCTCTCTCTCTCTCTCTTTCTCTCTCTCTATCTCTCTCTGTATCTCTCGCTCTCTCTCTCTCTCTCTGTATCTCTCTGTCTATAGATCGATCTATCTATATATCTTATTCACACACATATATATATATATACATATACATAAACAAATACAAATACATATACATATACATATACATGAACATATATATACACATCTATATAAATGTGTGTCCTCTCTCTCTCTCTTTCTTGTCCTCTCTCTCTCATTTTCTCTTTTTTTTTCTCTCTCTCTCTCTCTTTCTCTCTCTCTCTCTCTCTCTCTCTGCCTCTAATCAACCGACCCCTCTTCGCTCCTGATCTCATGGCGTTTTCCCTCTTCCTTCGTCCCTCCCCCTCCCTTCCTCCGACTCCCCCCCGTTCTCACCCTCCTCTTTTTGCAGGGCCCACACCAATTCCAATGGCGGGCACATGTACGCCCACGAAGGATTGTCCGCGCGTTCAGGTTTGCCCGCCTGTCTAAGCCCGCCGCCCCCCGCAATGAGAAAGAATCCCTCCAAAGGGGGTGTGATCGAAGACAAAAAGGGCGGATATCGAGGGTGTGGGAAACTCGTTTTGAATGACACGCGGGCAAGTTAGAGCGAACAGTCTTAGAATGACTGTTGGTGTTGTTGTTGATGCTGCTGTTGTTGTTGGCGTTGTTGGTGCTGGTGTTGTTGATGTTGTTGTTGTTGGTGGTGTTGTTGGTGCTGTTGAACTCTCACTTATGAAAAATAATTCGTGCTGATTCCCCGCCACCGGTGCATGTTGTTTCTTTTCTCCATCAAAGTGTGCCCCTCGACGCTCGCACCCTGTTTTTTGACAGGGAAAGTCTTGGTGCTCAAACTTTGCCCCGGACACCCTGGATTACAACAACAACAACAACAACAATCATTTAAGACTGGGGACACTCCGTTCTCACCAGTGCCAGGGTTTTCATAGGAGGCGGGCAATACCCCCACTTTGTGGGGGGGCCGGTTCAAGCTCTACCAAGTTTCCAAACGAATCTCCGCCACCACCCACACCCAGCTTCCCGCCCTATGACGTTCGGACACTTCACTTCGTGGCCTGCGGACGACCTTGGCTACTACACTGGCGCATGGGTACAGTGACTGGCGTTTGAAGATTTCGGCGTGCGCGCGCGAAGAAAAAACGAATGTGTCCCACATGGTATTATTTGACAGGGATGATGGCCCTGGCAGGCGCGCAACCTTTGTTGCAGAAGTTCGAAGCACGTGAAAAAGTTGCTCGCAAGAGCCCGTTCGACAGAAATGTTGAAAAAGTATTGGGTTTCCTAAGAAATCCGCAAGAGCGCGCGGGGTGAATTTTTGAAACCCTTTTTTTGAAAAACCATTGGGTTTTCATGTTTTTATGTGAAAATCGCTACGCAGACTAAGGTTTTGGAAGGATTTCGTCTTGCGCGCGCGAATGTGCACTTCGTGTCATTTGTTGCAAGGGATTCTTGAAGTTTGGTCATGTTAGAACAAGAAATGTCCACTTTAGCTTATTTTTTGCAAAAAAAAAACAAAAAAAAAAGAGGGAAAAATACCGATTCGTAAAATGCCAGCAACACAACCGGTTCTGACCCCCCCGTCTTTGCCTGAGACTTCCTCACGAAAATGATGAAAATTGGCCCTGCGGCCTAGGCGCGGCGGGGGGGGCGTGCACCCGGGGCCCCAACAATAATTATTCTTTAGAAGTAATAATGTTCAACAACAACGGTTCCCGCCTGAGACTTCCTCCAAATTTACTCAGGACCCCCGCTCCTGAGACTTCCTCCAAATTTACTCAGGATCGGTGCTCCCGCCTGTGACTTCCTCGCAATTTAATCAGGACCCCCGTTCCCATCTGAGACTTCCCCACAATTTACTCAGGAACGGCGCTCCCGCTTGAGAATTCCTTGCAATTGAATCAAGAATTCCTCGCAATTGAATCAAAACCCCCGCTCCCGCCAAAGAACCCTTCACATTTGATTCAGGAATTGTGCTCTCGCCTGTGACTTCCATGCGATTTATTCAGAAATCGCGCTTTCGACGCTCAGGAAACACGCTGCGCCAAGGACGCCGCTACAATTTACTTAGTAATCGCGCTCTCGCCATACTCAGGCATCCCGCTTGAACGTCCCACCCGCCCGACCCGCCCGTCAGGGGATCGCCCGCCCGTCGTGGGCTCCCGCCCGAGACTTCCTTCAGGAACGGCGCTTTCGCCGAGGACCCCCTCGAATGTTCACGCTCTTACCTTCCTGCTCCTCCTCCCTCTCCTTCCTCCCTCCTCCCTCCTCTCCTCCCTTCTCTCTCCCTCCTCTCTTCCCTCATTCTTATGCCTTTCTGCCCTATCCCCTCTCCCTCCTCTCCCTCCTCCCTTCTCCCTCCCCTTTCCTGCCTCCTCCCTCTCTCTTTCTTTCTTTAGTTATTTCTGTATTTATTTGTCTCTCTCTCTTTCTCTCTCCCTCTCTCTTTCTCTCTCTCTCTCTCTCTCTCTCTCTCTCTCTCTCTCTCTCTCTCATCACTTCTCTCCTCTTTCTCCCCCTAATATGAATGTTTTTAATCTCTCTCACCTCTCTTTCTCTCTCTCTCTCTCGCTTTTCTCTCTCTCTCTCTCTCTGTGTCTCTCTCTCTTTCTCTCTCTCTCTCTCTTTCTATCTCTATTCCTCTATCTCTCTCTCCTCTCTCTCCCTGTCCCTCTCGTCTCTTTATTTGTCTTTCTCTCTCTCTCTCTCACTCTCTCTCACTTCCTTCTCTCTAATTCTCTCTCTCTCATCTTTCTCTCTATCTCATCCTCTCTCTTCTCCTCCTCCATCCTCTCTCTCTTTTTCCTCCAGTACAATATATAACATGCATTTCTTTATATATAAGTTAATGAACCAAACACGGTCATTATGTAAGTATATCTCTCTCTCCTCTTTTTTCCCTTCTCTCTCTCTCCAAGACTCTCTCTCTGTCTCTAATCGACCGCCCCCCTCTTCGCTCCTTATTTCATGGCGTTGTCCCTCTTCCTTCGTCCCTCCCCCTCCCTTCCTCCCACTCCCCCTCGTTCTCCCCTCTTCTTTTTGCAGGGCCCACACCAATTCCAATGGCGGGCACATGTACGCCCACAAAGGATTGTCCGCGCGTTCAGGTTTGCCCGCCTGTCTAAGCCCGCCGCCCTCCGCAATGAGAAAGAATCCCTCCAAAGGGGGTGTGATCGAAGACAAAAAGGGCGGATATCGAGGGTGTGGGAAACTCGTTTTGAATGACACGCGGGCAAGCAAGAGCGAACAGTCTTAGAATGACTGTTGGTGTTGTTGGTGCTGCTGTTGTTGTTGGTGTTGTTGGTGCTGTTGTTGTTGATGTTGTTGTTGTTGTTGGTGTTGTTGGTGCTGTCGAACTCTCACTTATGAAGAATTCTTCGTGCTGATCCCCCGCCACCGGTGCATGCTGTGTTTTTCTCCATCAAAGTGTGCCCCTCGACGCTCGCACCCTGTTTTTTGACAGGGAAAGTCTTGGTACTCAAACTGTGCCCCGGACACCCTGGATTACAACAACAACAACAACAACAACAACAACAATTACTAGCACGTGGGGACACTCCGTTCTCACCAGTGCCAGGGTTTTCATAGGAGGCGGGCAATACCCCCACTTTGTGGGGGGGCCGGTTCAAGCTCTACCAAATTTCCAAACGACTCTTCGCCACCACCCACACCCAGCTTCCCGCCCTATGACGTTCGGACACTTCACTTCGTGGCATGCG